TAAATGCCATTATGGTGTGAGTTGGTAAAGCTAAAATTACTATTCTAATGAAAAACTCTCTGTGCAAAGAGAATATATTGTTTTTGCACTTATTCAATTTTATCAGAACAGATGGCATAAACTTATATACTTATATAGAGTAAAAAATACCGGTCCAAAATGACTTCCTTGTACAATAAATGAACACTCTCAAAAAACACTTATTTTTTTTTAATTAATTAGGAAGGCATCTATGATAATAATTTATTACTGAAGACCATGTGGATTACTGTATATTGTTATAATAACAACAAATTCATTTTGGTTACAATTGATGCATCGCCTTGCGACTATGGATGTGAAGAATAAATGCTATATTTGTATACATATTTGAGTATTTCTATATTTGTACTAATTTTTAATTGTATGACCATTGCTGAACGGCATAAAGTTCACTGTGCAATGGAGGAATTGTTAGATTCGAACGTCAAGCGATAAGGAAAACTATTTTTACCTGTGTGGGTATTGATAAAAGCATATCTGGGTGCGATTCACACCTGACTGACTGATTTCTAAATATTTTTCGCCCAAATATTGGTGCTTTCAATCGAACACCCCGCGGCAATCAGTCGACTTTTGCATTTCGTCGCGTTAGGCCACATCGCACTTCGAAAAAGGATTGTCAGTGATTTGTGTGAATTGGAATTTCTATCAATTGTTGTAAAGTAATATATTAAAGCAAAAACAACAACATGGCCGATATTTTGGATTTGGAACATCATCAAATTTTGGAGGAGTACAAACAAAATCTTGAGGAAATTTTGCCAACTGTATGTTTCGTTACAGCAGAACTTCCTCTGCCAATGACCCCATCCTATAGATTTCCAAAAAAATGACAAACAATATTTTCACAAGTTTTAATGTTCAGCAGAAGAGTGTGAAGAACATTTATTGGTGCACCAACACAGCACCATTGTTTTATCTTATCTGCAACTGCGTGCAAAAGAAGAATTTTTTCAAATTGCTGATTAGCAATTCATTGGAAATTAAATCGAATGTGGCAATGAATTCTAGAATAATAACATACATACATACATACATACCTATATGAAGTAATAATAATTTAAGCAGAAGACGTACAACTGATACGAAATAGTATTGGCATTTACTGTTACAGTCGCCGCATATCTTTATGCCTCTGTCCCTATTCTACATACATATATATATATATATATATATATATTTATCTATCTATAGTATGTCATTCCGCTAAGCGTCTGTGTGTTTATTCAAATTCAAATGTTAAGTGTTAGAGAAATTGGAATAAGAAACAAACGTAGGTAGTGTTTTGAGCGTATAAGCTCAGAAAACAGGTTTCATTTTGTCGATGATGATTAAATGCGAATAGACCGGTGTGTCACCCGCTACCAATTACTTTCAATGTTAAAACTGTAAATAGACAGTCAGCGCTTTGGTTTCGTAAAAAAAAAACAATGAATGAATCTGAACTGGAATTAGTCACTCGCCATTGAGGAACTCTTGTAATGGATGACTCACACCTATGTATTATGAATGCAGTATAATATATTTATTCATAGCGAGATACAAGATACAATTTGGAATATAGTTGTTAATATATTTACTTTATCGATTTCAGATTGATGCCAACAAAGATGGCTTCATTGATCTTAGCGAGCTTAAATCTGCTTTGGATCAAGTTGGCTTCAAATTGCCTGGCTATCAAGTGCGTGAGATGATTGATGAATTCCAAAATAAACAGCGCACAGCCCATCAGGGCAAACTTAATTTGGAGGAGTTTGAAAATTTGTGTTTGGATCTCAAGTCAAAGGATGTTGCCAGCACATTCAAGACCGTCGTCTCAAAGAAGGAAAATCTTGAAACCTTGGGTGGTATGTCGAGCATCTCATCGGAAGGTACAACACACTCGGTGCGCTTGGAAGAGCAATTGGCTTTCTCCGATTGGATCAACTCCAATTTGGGCCACGACCAAGATCTGAAACATCTACTTCCCATAGATGCTGAGGGCAAACGCTTGTACCAATCAATTAAGGATGGTATTTTGTTGTGCAAAATTATTAATCACTCCTGCCCCGATACCATTGATGAGAGAGCCATTAACAAGAAAAATCTCACTGTCTATCGTGAGTTTGAGAACTTGACATTGGCTTTGGTTTCGTCGCAAGCTATTGGTTGTAATATTGTCAATATTGATGCCCACGATTTGGCCAAGGGCAAACCTCACTTGGTTTTGGGTTTGCTATGGCAAATCATTCGCATTGGTCTCTTTAGTCACATAACCTTGGATAGCTGCCCGGGATTGGCAGGGCTTTTGTTCGACAATGAACGTTTGGAAGATTTAATGAAAATGTCACCAGAAGCTATTTTGCTACGTTGGGTCAATCATCACTTGGAGCGTGCTGGCATTTCCCGCCGTTGTACCAACTTCCAATCGGATATTGTTGATTCGGAAATCTATACGCATTTGCTCAAGCAAATTGCTGGTAACGATGTCGATGTCAATATGGATGCCTTGCATGAAAAAGATTTGGTATCTCGTGCCGAAATTATGTTGCAACAAGCAGCCAAATTGAACTGCCGCAGCTTCTTGACACCACAGGACGTTGTCAATGGGGTCTACAAGTTAAATTTGGCTTTTGTTGCTAATCTATTCAATAATCATCCTGGCCTAGACCAACCGGAACAAGTTGAGGGTCTTGAATCCATTGAGGAAACGCGCGAAGAGAAAAGTAAGCCTAATACATATTTGCCTCAATTATTTAACTTAACAATTTTATATCTATAGCTTACCGTAATTGGATGAACTCCATGGGTGTGAGCCCACATGTGAATTGGTTGTATTCGGATTTGGCTGATGGCTTGATAATCTTCCAATTGTGCGACATTATTAAGCCTGGCATTGTCAACTGGAATCGCGTCCACAAACGTTTTACACCGCTGCGCAAATTTATGGAAAAATTGGAGAATTGTAATTATGCTGTGGAGTTGGGCAAGCAACTTAAATTCTCCCTGGTTGGTATTGCTGGGCAGGACTTGAATGATGGAAATGCAACCTTAACTCTAGGTTAGTAACTGTAAATTAAACCACTATATATAAAATAAATAATTCAACTTTATTTCTGTCAGCTCTCATTTGGCAACTGATGCGAGCCTATACTTTATCTATCCTCTCCCGATTGGCCAATTCTGGCAACCCAATTGTCGAAAAGGAGATTGTACAATGGGTCAACAGTAAACTTTCAGAGGCCGGCAAAGAAACGTCTCTCAAGAATTTCAATGATCCAGCCATTGCTGATGGTAAAATTGTTATTGACCTCATTGATTCCATCAAGGCTGGCAGTATTAATTACGATTTGGTGAGAACCGGTGGAACAGAAGAGGTATGTTTTCGAGGTCGATAATACCTAGCAAATAATTCTGAGAGTAGTTAATAACGTACAGTAAGAGTTGGTTTTTTTTTTTCAAGTCAAGATATTGTTGTGGTAAATTGAAAGCGAAGCAAAAGATAAAAACAGCTCCATACTCTTATGTTTAATTACTTAAAAGTCCAAATAAGACTTGCAGCAAGTTTTCATAAACATTTAAATCTTCTTTTAGGATAACTTGGCCAATGCTAAATATGCCATTTCTATGGCACGCAAGATTGGTGCACGAGTTTATGCTCTACCAGAAGACATCACTGAAGTTAAACCCAAGATGGTTATGACCGTGTTCGCCTGCATGATGGCTTTGGATTATATCCCCAACATGGATAGTGTTGAGAATCAAAACAACATTAACAATAGCAATTAAATGACAAGCCAAGATGCCAAATGCAACAACATACCAACCTAAACATCGAGAATAAATCCACCTCCACAACAAATATTTATGATAAAAACTGATTGATTTATGAGAGAAAGAAAATGTGAATTGAAAAGAAAATAACAAAAGGGATGGGTATTGTGCATAAGGAAGCTTTTAAAATGACGATTCGAATCAAGCAGTATTGGAACATAGTGCCGTTTTTTGTGCAGCGATTCACATAAAGGACCATAACCTTCCTGAAGCATATACACATACACACAAACCACGCCAATTAAGTAATTATGTATTTATATATATTTTTTTAGACTTACGTATATTTTTTGTACAAATGTAACCCGTTGAAATTAAATGATAATCTTTTAAGCTTAAATTTCAACGTCATTTGTAAGCTTGTTTTGACTTACTTTTTATATACTACTATTATAAAAATACGTACCGATATGATTTTAAAGTAAATCTTTTATTTTGTTGAATTTCGATTGCGTTCTACGTAGAAATATTTTTGTTTCAAAAAACCTTATTTTATAAATAAAGGTTAAGCTATAGAAATAAAAAGCATAAACAAACAATGAGAGCAGTGCATAAAAAAATACAAAGAGGAGGAGTAGGCACATTTGCTATTAAGATGTGAGAAATAAATAAATATATATTTTTATACGACTGTCTGTATCTCTCTATTTAATTGTAAGCTTTGGCAGAAACCTTGCAGCCATCATGTCTTTCAGTTCCTTAACAGTTCAGACAAAAATCTAGCACAAGAAATTTGCGCGCTCTACAATACGCACATTGATTTTCAGAAAAAATACAAAAATCCGCCTCAGTGCCATCAAGTAATTGTGGAGCAAACTACAAGAGACACAAGCATTCATTTTATACGCGTGCAACTACACAAGTGCGTGGAATGTGCAATAGAAACTACCCTCCACCTATATAGATAGGTATAAACGAATTTTGTCGTATGTCTAAGCTTAACCCCTTGAGGCACGAAGAGTTGTATAGAAAAAAAAGACACCACATAATTTAAGTTTTATTTTTTTTTTAATTTTATTTTAAATAAGTTTAAAGGTCATAAGAGAAAATAAATCGAAAAGAAAATCCACAAGTATCTGTATTCTGTATAAAGATTATAAAAACCAATAAAAAATAAATTCAAACAAAAACTGCAACATAATTTATGTTCGCATGACTCTTTATGCCAATAAATCATGCTTATCATCAATGGATGACGACGGAGTCGATAAGGGTGGTCGTGTCACATTTTCATATGTATACATTACGGTTCGCTTGTAGATACGTTTATGGGTGTTTTCCTTATTTTCCTCTTTCATCGAATCTGTTTTGTGTTGGGTAGTATCGCTATAGCAATGAATTGTATTTTCGCCCACCGACGTTTCACAGTGGTAACATACACTTTCTCGGCTGCGTTTTTGTGTACATGTTGGTACAGCACTATCATCCGACCTTGATGTCTTTTCAAAGGAATTCTCCACACTTTCGCTTGGCAAGAGTTTACGCTGTTTGCGATACTTATTTTCAATTTTTATTGCAAAACTTTTAGGTGCAGACTGTCTGTTATAAGAACAGTTCTCCGATGTTTCACCATTTTTATTTGTACAAATTCTGCAATTGCTGTGATTTTTTATAACATTTTCACAACGTTCGTCTTTGTTATAGAATTTCGATTCTTCGGTAAGAGGAATTTCATCACCTCCCTCTTCGCTTTCTTCTGCAGAGAGATTTTCCACACCACTGTCGTTGCTGTCCTTATCATAGTTCTCTGTGCTTGTACTGTCTGAATTGGCTTTAGTGGAATCTCCAAAATATTTCTGAACAAATGACTCATATGCAGTATCGTAGTCATATGGCTGAACTTCAGGCGAAACAACATCAGCTCTTCTTTGTAGAGGTATGTTCCTTTCAGCGCTGCGATTTAGAACTGTTTGTCCGTTAGATTTTTCTTTGCTCATTTGCGAGTTATTGTTGTTAAAATTAGAAGGTTGCTTTTGCCCGGAAATAAAAGTGTCCAAGGAATACAAAAGATCGCCAGGTTTAATCTTTTCCCAATCGATTGTATCTTCATTTGGTGTTATACTGCAATCAACTTCAATAGAAATGTATACAATCACAAAAATAAATCCCTTTGCGATCAACATCTCTTTCCCATTTGTATAATTTACTGACTGAAATGATAGCAATTGTGGCGTATATAAAGCTTTTTCATTTCGATTGATTTTCCATAGAGCATAACGTAACGTAATAAGAAAAAACAATTTTTGATCAAACCACAATTTCTGGTCAAAGCGGAAATGCAAAGGAGTTTAACAATAAAGTCATTAACGTTGACTAGCAATTTGTATGATTTTCAATTTGGAATCATTTTTTATATTGAGTAATAGTTTGTTTCGGTTTCTCTTTTGTGTTCCTGGGACGACGATGGAGTCCACCGACCTGTTGTAATGAAAACTTTTAATGTGGTAAAATGGCATTAATAGAAATCTGATAAACAACGCCAATCTTATCTGCAATTAAATCATTGGGAGTAGATATAGCAATTATTTTATTGTATTGTGTATCATGGCTTAAAATACCATATTTTAATGTTTAAATTAACTTTAAAAATATACTGGAATACATATATGTATGTAAATATATGTTCTTCTAAACATTCAAATCCTTTATTTCCTAATCGAATTCCAAACTTTAGTCTATAAAAAGTTGTTGTAGAACAAACATGTGGAAACATAAAAAATATTAAAGGAAACGGTATTATGAAAAAACAAATAAGGTACATAAATATTGCATACATATTTTAATCAATACTACGAAACAACCTTGGATGGATTGAGGTCGTTTGCAGGAATGTTGTTTGCCATTTGCTTGTATTTAAGGGACTTTTGGCGCATATTTCTCATCTCTCGTCTTTTTTCTCGAATCAGTTGTTTTGTCTGTTCATTATCCATTTCCTCCCAATCACCGGTATCCTCATCTTCCCAGTCTTCTAAATCTGCCTACATTACGAAAAAGAAAATACTTGAAAAAATGTCCTTAGATCCAATATAACGACTCGGATCGTTCGGAGCGCAGACTAGTTATATCCATCCACATTTTATTTTTAAAAATCAAATGATCTCTTTGACAGTGAATGATAGCACCAAAAATATGCTGTTGTGGGGTGCTGAGATCAATTTAACAACACAGCTGTGGTAATCAAAACTAGAACTGTTGGTGTGCTGCGGTCAATGCCATATCAGAAAACATCGTGTTGTGCCTGTGAACAGCAAAGCTTGTAAATTCGTCGAAAGCCAAAAACATTGCTTTGAGTTATAACTTGCAAAACATTTTCTAAAAAGATGGACCCAATTCATTTCATTGATGGTAAAATGTTCGCAGAACGGTGTAGCAACAGTTTTTATTTATAAATTATGTTACTGCCAACACTGCGGATAAGTGGCAGTGTTTTATATTTTTCATTTATTCACGACAGAGCTATTTAAAATGCCGAATATTTGAGCCAAGCGTACCCAATGATTATTTACATTTTCCGAATTACTTTTAAAGACATCGATGTCATTTTTAAATAGTCTGAGGTGTTAAAATGACAAGCATTTCGAAAAAGGTATTACAGACCAGAACTGCAGAAAATAGCTATAATACAATTTAGAACGATCCGAGTGAGGCTCCCAAGTTGGGCAAGTAATATATTGAGCAAGTTGAGTTTATGCTCGGATAATTTAAAAAATTTTATAACTGGTAGGTATTTTTGAACTGATTACGCCAAGTAATTTTATCGTGGAGGTGATACCATTTAAAAGCTTGTAGAAATACCTATCTAACAAGTGGTAATATGATTTTCTTTGAAACGGTTCCGGATTAATACAAGATAATTTATATTTTGTACCTGTACTTTTTGAAAAACCCCTAAAAAGTTGAAAATGTACCCATAATGGGTTGTTAAGATCAACATTCTACATTATAGCCTACACTCTTGCTTTTCCAAAATTGTGCCAAAAGTAGCTGGCCTTCGGCCGGTCTGGAGATTTTGTCCTCTGGGTATGTCCAACATCGGCTACGCGTTGTTGTTTTTCTAAACTTTTGTAAGTAGCCGGCATTCGGTGTGGGCTTTAGATTTTCTCGTAGGGGGTATGTACATCACCGGCTACGCGGTTCATAGTTTTTCTACATTTTATAACCTTTGTAAGTAGGCGGCCCTTGGCCGGGGCTTGAGATTTTCTTCTCGGGGGTATGTCCAACACCGGCTACGCGGTTTATAGTTTTTCTAAACTTACTAACTTTTGTAAGTATCCTCAGAACTACAAGGTTTTAAAGGTTAGATATATAAAGGCGTCCCAAGTAGAATGCAATTTTTAATTTTAAATAAGATGAATATTTTAAAGAATTGTGAAACGTTATTGTATTATAAATTAGATAGAATGAGGTTATCTATGGATCAAGATATCGTGGATATGGCTGTCGCGACTGAACTGGCACACACGCGACCTTTTGATGAACTTTTCGTTAAATGTTGCAGCATTTCCTTATTGCAACGTCCAATTTCTTATTTTAAGGCCTAAACCATCGACTTTAGAAAAACCGCAACGAAAAATAAATCGGAAGGTATATCTAGGCTACCAATACTAGTATTCAAACGCGGAATAATAAGACCGAGAAATGACTGATGTACCAATAGAATTTTTTCGTTGGCTGTATGACATGTGGCGCCCTCTTATTGAAACCACATGCCCTCCACATTAATTTCTTCAATTATAGACAAGAAAAAACTGGTTATGATCTCGCCGAACATTATTGACTATTTGCGCTTGACCAGCCCAAATGCGCTATTAACGAAATCATCAAGATAGATATGGGCCTCGGCACTGAAGATGTTTTTCGGCAAAATCAACATTTTCATGTTGTCTCGCCAATACCCAATAAACGAACTCATTCGTACATTCTACAACATTTGTTGAAATGTCAAACAATGACACTTCCTATGGCACAAAATTTAAAAATTGCTCTCTATTTGGGACACCTTTTATTAGTGGAGAAAATCTCTATTTTATGATTTTATCACTAATATCTCGAAAGACGTACAAAGACTACAAAACATATCAATTCAATACACCATCTTGGAAAGGCAAGAGTGTAGGCTATAATGTAGTATGTAGATTTTAATGTAATGTTTTAAATACCAATTTTCTTATATTACTGCGAAACAGGCTCAAACAACATCATATATATGACCACTTGTTGGATAGGTATTTTCATAAGCTTTTCATTTTGTAAAAGACAACGTATTTTGTATCCGAACTTTAGGCCCGAATAACCGGGTATTTCCCCCACAAAAAAATTCTTGCAAAAATACCTTCACATAAAAATTTTTTCAGGTCAATCCAAGCATAGTCTCCAAACTCAAATTAAGTAAGCCCAATATATGACTGTTGGACTCTGTTCCATTCTTGCAGTTCCGGAACAGACGAAATATGTATGATTGATTTCAGCTACTTACATTTAAAGCTATTGGTACATCTGTTTTCGCCGCCTGCAAACGCGAGAAATCTTGCTGGTCTTGGGTATCATCTGCCAGGTAATATTTTGGCTGTGGCCTTATAACAGGAGTTAATTCCTAAATATACCCCAATATTACTATTTTCCAAGATGTAAAATCTAGGCATGAACACAACATACCTTAAAGAAGTCAGGTTCATTTACTTCAGCCTGAGGGGTTGGGGGCTTAGCAATTTGCTGTCTGTATTGTTCAATATGCTCTTGAACTGATCTAGGACTGTCGTCCCATGAGTTCCAATCACGTTCAGGAGGAGCCGTCTAGTCCAAAATAGAATAGTATAAAATGCCATCTTAAAAAAATATTTTCTTACCGAAATATTTGTGGAAATTGGTGGAGGAGCGTAATTGGATTGAATGACGACAACATTATTCATTGGCTCTGAATAGCTTGGTTTCCTCTTCCGGGAGAAACAACATAGTGCCCTTCTAAATAAACCGAAAATACTCAAAAAGAGTATCTTTATTTGCTGGAAAACCATCCTCGAGGAGCTGATTGTCGTCTCTGCCGCAAGTGCGTTGGAAACTAAAAATGAAAAACGTTCCAACGAAACGAATATGAAGGCCACAAAGGAACACCCGATAAAAAATAAACAGAAAGCAAAGACTTGTTTACGAATGAGTGTAATGCATAACGCCCGGGTACTCTGTTGTCTGTTGTTTACGAATGAGACATGAGAAAATTGAACATTTTCACTAAAGAGCGCGGATCTAGTTGCTACTATCGTTTTCCGAACTCGACTATGGACTTGAGTGGAAACCGAGTACTCGACTATTCATAGTCAATTTTTCGACTTAAGCATGTTATCATTGCAATTTCAATCACGTTGTTCGCTCTCAAAATTAACCCGTTCATACGGCACACGATTCGTAATTCATAACATAGTTCCTTTTTCAAAAAAATTTTTTTTATAGGAATTTGTACAAAAGTACATGAAATTATAATAATAATAATAATAATAATAATAATAATAATAATAATAATAATAATAATAATAATAATAATAATAATAATAATAATAATAATAATAATAATAAAAACAATTATTGTTTTTCCTCCAAAGATTTTTTTTACCTTTCATTCAACAATTTTCGTTCAGACTTTGTCATAAGACTTTAAAATAAATTTTTATATTATTATTTATATAGTTTATATATTTTGAAGGCATCTTTATAGATGTATAATACTGGATTTTTAATGAATATTTATTTTTCTTTTGTAATTATCCTGGGTGCACTTACAGAATCAATCTTCATGAATACCTTTTTATATTTTTTTAATACCTATTTATATAGATCTCATTTTTCTTAATTATACTAATAAGGATATTTTGAAATGTCCTTTTGTTGAAGTAGTTTACTCATCATGTATTATATTTATAGGAGTTTATTTTTTTTTGTATTATTTTTATAGTAGTAAATTTAACAAATTTATGTGAATGTGTAGTCGCAAGCTGTGACTACCTTTTATAACTTCCAGAAATAGCTAGGAAATCATGGTAAAGAACCAAACGGTAATACAAGTTTGAAATAAAACTATTTTTCGACATGTTACACAGAAACTCTTAAAAGTTTGATATAAATAAATAATTTTCTCAGAATTTTGAATTGTGGACTATAGGACGAAAAACTATTTTTAATATAGGGCTTATTTTTGTGAAAAACCCTTAAAAAGAGAAGGAATATATTAAAGAAGGTTCCGAAAACAATTTTCCACATTTGAATTCTCATTAGTTGTTTTTATTTATGCCAAACTTATTGTTATTTCAGATCACGGTCAATAATTAAACTCAGAATAGATGAAAAGCAGTCGTAAATGCATATAGTTCAGGAGCGATTAATATAAAAATTATCCAGTATACATCTGTACAATATTATTTCTGGTGTTACTACCGCATTTTTTATTTATATTTAAATATTGTTATACATCAATTCGCATTCACAATTTTATACACTTACAGCATACATGTTTTTAAAAATTCTACAGTATATTATACTGTTAACATTAGTCAGTGCTGTTATACATCTTTGGATATGTACTATATCTAGATAGAACTAGAATAACTAGATACTCAGATACCATTTGTCTGGATCTTTTCTCTTCTGCGGAACTTTAAAAATATAATTTCTAAAATCCAGGGAAATGCACATAGTCCCATAAAGAAGTTCAGACAGTGGAAGGTAAGAATATAGTCCTTGGTCATATCTCGCAAATAGCCAACGAATGGGCCAACGGCAAACATAACATTGCCTTGCATAAACATGAATAGTCCATAACCAGTTGCAAATCTGAAAAATATGGATGTTTTTTTTTTTTTTTTTTTTTTTTTTTTTGTGAAATTAGCAAAGTGGAGACTGATAGGGATAGTACTGATTTTTTTTTTACCTTTCCTTGGGCAAATATTCGGCAAAAATCAACGGCAGTGGCACATGAATCCAAGTACGAAGGAATCCCATAACCGCTGTAATTATGGCCATTCCCTTGAAGCTGGATACATTGAGGAATACTAAAAACAAGAATAAATATACCATAGACCAAATCAGAAAACCTCAGTATGATTTACAATTTTGTTTTCATCTCCGACATCTACAAACATCATTAACATCATTACTCATTGGTTGAAATTTCGTTTTGAACGATTCATGGAATTCTAAAACTATTACTTTAATATTTATTTGTGCTATAACTTTTTACAACTTTCGCTTGCGCAAACGTAGATAAGAACTCTTAAGTGTGGCAGTCTTAGCAACTCACATTGGTATCGAGGAGGTTGCGATTAGTGAATCTTAAGCGGGACAAAAGAAAAATAAAACTTACCACTGGATATGCCTAATACGCGAGAAACTGTTATCTATTTAGACATTTTATGACCGACAACCGTTCGGGCGATTAATTGTGACGTTTTTAATAGGAGGTAATAAACCAGAATTTGTTTATCTGCAATAGGTATTTGCATGTGTATCAGTTAGTACACACCTTCCATTATGTTACAGATAAATAAAATGGGATTGCAAAGCCTTTCAAAATTCTTTAAAAAAATTAAATGTAACTAACATTTTGACGTTCTATTATTCGAGAACAACTTAAATTCCTTCTGACATCACTTGTTTCAGGTTGCTTGAGACAAATAACAAAGACATGAAGTATAACGATGATACAATAGAGAGGTGAAATATTATATATGATATCATAACCACATCGTTACCATAGTAAATTCGGTTCGATTTTAACCCCTTAATTGTATTTCTCTGCCATGTGCTGTTCCTCTACATATTATAGCCGCTAACCATTTTCTTATAATACATTTTTGAGGCTCTAGGTATTTATGTCTTTGCAAATACAATGTAAATACAACACCACGAAAATTAAAAAAAAAAGTTTGTGCAAAACGTGTTCCTGACTACAAAATTAATTCGGTTTTATAAAATTTTACTGAAATAATTGCAATACATTTTGTTAAACCCTAGATGGATATGCGTACATCCATGGAAACTTTCGAATGTGAGAGATGGAGTATATTGTACCGTTGTATATTATCATCAACACACAAAAAATTCCGTTCTGATACATACCAAAACGCGATAACACTGTGAAGAAGGACCCAGCCAAATATATATACCTGGACGGCACTTGTATGAAAACGGCCAGAAATGCTAGAAATATTCTCGAACCCAAATCTGCCGCCGCTCCGATTGCAATGATGCTTGCTGTGTCCGGCTGTAAAGGATACCAAGTACTTTAGCAACATTTTCATTTCGACAGTACAAAAATACCGACCTTATTGAAACCCAACTCGAACATATACAATGGTTGCAGCGTAAAAAAGGCAATATCCGAATATAAAGCGAAGGATATACCCAAAACGATATTGACATAAATGGGTTTCTTTAACAACGTCAAATCCAGAAAATCAACAACGATTTGCCATTTAGACTTTTTCGTCTCCTTCTTATCTATGCTGCTGTGCGTTTGGGCTGACACAACCGTGGATGCTCGTCGCGATCCTATGATGTTGAGCATTTCAGGTGAGGCGTCACTCACAACCATGGCGCCAGACCAATTGCCTAAACTGGCAATGCTGGAGCAACGGCTTGATATTTTTTCCATTTGAATCGATAATTTTCGCGGTCCTATATTGGAGGTCGATACAGATAAATGGTTCTTATCGTGACTCACTTCACTTAAGGGCTTTGGTTGTTCGGGAGTTTTCTCCGGTAGTGGTTCATTTTGGTTGAGATTTTGCATTTCTTCATTCGTACAAGGAACAACACGCATATGCCATTCTACAGGTTGCATCAGAAGCATGCCTAGAATGGCGTGAGAATTTATTGCTGCCAGAACCATAAGGCATCCCCGAAATCCATACCACTCCAGAAATTTTTGCATGAGCACTGGATAAAACATAGAACCCAATCCAATTAACGATTGGGAAAAGCTCATCCACATTATACGCTTCTTGACGAAATAGTTGTTGAAGGTGGTATAGGATGTGGGTACAATGAGACCAAAACCAACACCCTGGATCAGACTAAAGGCAAAAATCAAGCCAATAGTTGATGTGACGAAAATTTGTAGCAGCGAGCCGCCGAAATACAGGAATCCTCCCCAAAGACCCACGGTCCTTAATCCAAAACGGTTAAACAGAGACCCCGAAAAAAGTCCCGCAAAACTGAACGAAAAGAAAAAAGCGCTAGTTATAAATCCAATGGCACTCGTCTCGGCTCCAATACTTTTGAGAAAATCTCCGAACACCAAACCAAAGGATGGCAGTGCTGCCAAACCGCTCACCTAAATAGACACAACACTCAAATAGATTTCAAAAAAGGATTAGACACAGAATACATACGAAAGGCATTGCCATGCCAATGCAAACGAGTATCCCCCAACCGCCATCAGGTGCTTCTAAGCGTGTTCCCGACTTCATGCTAAGGCCTTTGCTAACAGCATCAACGTCTAAGTACAAATGATTTCGAGAATCATTTCACAATTTGGACAAGCTCTAATAATTGTCATTCATCATGGGAGTTTTCACCACAATTTCAATGGACTGGAAGTGGGAGGCAGGCGGGTGGCAAGAGATAACATTGATAAGACAACTTCAACTTTATAACTAGCCATAAACTAGACTACACTACAGACGTGTAAATATAAAGTCTTTAAATAAATAAGGAGCCATACCTCCTCAGAGCATCGAAGCCAAAAAGTAGTTGAAGGTATTACCAAGCATCAGATAATGATACAAAACCACGATGCCGTGATAATCACTGATGTGTGTAAATTTTAGACGTATTAATTAGGTGAATTATTATCTATATATGCGTCTCACGAGGGGGGCTATTTTTACCGGTCGACTTCAGCTGGCAGCAAGGTTATAAAAACACCATTTCTATCAATGTTTAATTTGTTCAACTTTGAAACTTTTTGGTAACAGCGTTACTCAAAATTCAACGTAGCGTACAAAAATATTCAACGTCCCCACAATGGTAAAATGTCCGTATTACCCAAATACGCAAGGTTCATATATTGAAATGTTGTAAAAATTTAATATTTATCAAATTAACATAATTGTTATATTCTGCAACTACAAACATTTACATATTTTGTACGCACAACGCACGGTCGTGATCAACTATTTAAACATTTAAAGCATAGATCGCTATAAATGTAATTAGTATGCTTTCTTGGGATGTAATATTGCGTGTAAATACTGATTCGATGGTGTCTACACTTACCTTAACAAGTAGTACTTATTTTATCAGCTTTGTAAAACAAATTTTGAAATTAGTGGAATAGGAAAATGTTTGTATAAAAGTGTATATCCATGGTACAATGAAGACAAGGTAGGCTAAAATTGGAAGTATAGATAGATGTCTATTTGTTTGGCTTGTAATGTCTGAATTACTATCAAAACCATCAAAAAAACCGAACAACTTGTTGCATTGATTTTGAATAAATAATTGAAAAACACGAAAACTGAATGAAAGTCTAAATTTATTTTCAAAATCATGTTACATATATTTCTACAGTTTTGTTTCGGTACAAAAACTGTAGCATTTGGAAAACACGCGAATTTGAGTATTTTCTTAACAATTTTTTTATTATTAAAAAGAATATACACACATAAACAAATAAAGTTGACATATTAAGCCAAGAAAATAAAATTTTTAAATTGAATTAAAATTTTATTGTACCATGTGTATATCTATTTTATTTGTTGTTTGAGTTGAGAAAAGTGAGTACTTTAAACGTATAAAGGTCCCAGCTGCTGAGGTTATCTGCCGAACATGTTATTTATAATTTTCAGTGACCACTCAGTAAAAAATATTATGTCATGTAGAAATGGGTAAAAGTAACGGCTTGGAATAGGTCATAAAAACACAAAATTTATTGCGGACAGAATAGAAATGCGAATTACCAATAAAGGGAAAACAAAACTTATATAAGATTTCGTGAAATTGTGAAAAATATTGTCTTATCAGTAGTTACCGTCATTAAATATTAGCTCAGTACGGTGCATTTGATTTAGATTCTGTCAATTTGAATGTTATACATACTTATTCTACTCCAACTTCAAAATACCAAATTTGAAATAATTATGTTGAAAATGTGGCAAAAAATCATGAAAATTCCTGATATCGGGAAGTACCGTTATATGGGTGATATAGAAAAACGTGGACCTATATGGACAATATTCCGTCACCACACGTGCATCCCATTACAGAATACAAAAAAATATAGAATTTTAAACAAATTCGTTAGAAAAAGGATTAAATAATAAGAATACCGAATATCGAGGGGTACCGTTGGGGGCCATAGCAAAGGTGAACCTATGTGGTAATTTGTTTGTTACAGTGTTTGGTATCTATTGCAACAAACTAGTTTGAAACACATCCGTTAAAAGTGTGCCTTAAATCTTTAAAATACTGAATTCAGGTACCGTCATATAGGGACTATTTAAATTTGTAGCTTAAAATGTAGCTTAAATCGAAAAAATACCGAATATTGAAAGGCACATTTATATGGGTGGTATACGAAAAATAAAACCTACCTTACCAGCATTTGGTCCTCGACATAATAAGCCAACAATAAGTATTTGTACCAAAATTGATGCAATTTTGCCAACTCCTTCTATATTCTGGACACCTTGTACCGACGTATTTCGGTAACTAAATATGGAACAAGATGCAACATGATCTGCATTTTAGTCTTACCAAAACTTTGTCACATTCACCACTTGTTTCAGGCGTCTAGATGTAATTCGGAATCACATGTCATTATTCTTTGACCACATCTTTGCTGGAATGTTTTATGTTTCAGTTAGTCGATCTTCTCATTACAAACATTGACAACCCAAGAAAGGGGTTTAGTAATTTTTGTGGAACAGATTAAGATAGTACGAAACCTTCTATGTTTTCATTGATATAAATAAAAATAATTACATATACTTTGGTTACGTTATTTTTCTTTTAATTAATAAAATTTACACTTTCTAAAAATATTTATCGCATGATTTTCCTCCTAAATGTATTTGCATATATTACACATACAATTATAAGACACATACATTGCGTTCCATGCATATATTGTCCAATGAATTTCGAAATCAGTTAAGTGAAGCACAGATAGAACATACATTTTAAATTAAACATACAATTTAAAATAAGTACTGGCATTTTTTTCATTGAAATATTGTAATTGCATATCAAGACATTATTTCTTTCATGTATTTGTTGGGCTTCGTCTAGGTATATACTTAAAATATGTACATACTTGCATTTTTTAAGTTTAATTTTAAAATCTATGTAATTTATGTAAGTAATATATAAGTAAATAGGTAAAAATGTATAAATAGGTTTACTCTTATTAAAACTATACAATTTTTTGTGGGTAAATTGGTCTTTGTCAAGGAGTTGTGGAAGATATTTAACAATTTGATACTCAACTGAATAAAAATACTATTACGCTAACAAAGTACGCTTTATGAACTATGGCCTAATTTTTCCATCTTCAACAATTCAATATTCAGTAAGTATGTTGTTGCTTTACCACTTATTGAGTATTTATCAAGATTTTTGCAACACACCCTGAGCGAACGTTATGCAATAAACGGAAAGCCAACTGAACCTCAACTCTGAAAAGACAATTCGAACATATTTTTTTAGAATCAAATGAGAGATGATTCAAAATACTTTGTGTGGAAGAACATGAATTGTAAACAGAGTGTGTGTTATGTCATGAAAATATTCTCATCACATCTTCTCTGGGGTGTTGAACATGGAGGCCCTTAAATCAATTAACATTTGAAAAACTAACGGGAATGTATAAAATTAATCCGCATCGAGTAATGCTTTCCAAGAAATAATTAATTAATCAATTAAGTATAAGCAATAAGATGACAGCGACTGTGAGTTTTGTATGTACATATGTGGACATGTACGTACACTAAACATGAGGTAATCAAAAATTGTGTCCAGTTTCCTACATTGAGTCCGTACGTTATGATAATTATTTAGAACATCGGTAATCGAATTGGGGGATTGTAGAAGTCTACGTTAAAACAAATACAGTCATTAATATCATCTCCAAATACAAATCTGTCTTAATAATTAATTTAATTCTTATTTTCAAATATAAAACTCCAAGTTAATCGCCATCGGGTGTTAAAAGTAGAGATAAGGTGATTTTGGTTATTCTTTTACTCTTTAATCCGTTTCAATTTTATAGAATGCTTTAAGGTGAGAGTTTGGTTTGTATTCACTTACTATTATAATATTTTGAACTATCACATACAAGTCAATAGTATTTAACTTATTATTATTGTTTTTATAAGTAAGTCGTCCATTAACTAATAAAAATACTGCAACAATTTGAAATAATATTGTGTGCAACATTCTCATGCAAGTTTGATTGTTATTCCGAGCTCACTAATTTTAAATCGGAGTCATTTTCCAAATCAATAGTTTTTGAATCTCCAGAAAACCGGCTTAAATTTCGCACTTATGGAATTACAGGTTTAATGTTTCAAATGAAATTATTGTAAAATACACACATACATGTGTGTGACTCATTTGGCCGAAATCGAGACAATTTGGTCTTTGAGTTGTGTGTTGACGCTTGGCACACACACACACACTAATATAAATTGTTCTAAAGTTACAACTAAATTTTGTTTTGAAATTATTAGGATCCTTAATATTACACCAGCACTCATACTATTGTTTGTTTTCTGTTGTTAGAGCGTCGGTGACGTCACCATTGGCGGCGTTTTGAACTTTCCTACGACGTGAATAGTCTATAACGTATTCTATGCACCAGGCAATGCCGCAGAGGAAAATGCATACACTTTGGGCATGAATGCAAATGGGATAGCTTTGAGTAACATCACGGATGAGACCTGCAAGTGTTAAGTAAATGTTAGTACTCGGCTCGATGTTGGCGATCCAATCAAGTTTCTTACCTATCAAAGGACCAAAACATATAACGAACACGGCTTTGCCCACCAAGTGCCAACCGAAGGCTGACGGCAGTTTCTCCAGAGAACAGTACTCAGAAACCGTCAGAGTAAAGTTACTGAGTGCTGAACCCCTAAAGAAGCCACAAATCGACAGCCAAACCATCAGTTGGGTCCAGTCCTTTTGTTCGGCCATAACTGCAAGAAAGCACAATAGGAAAATTTCAATTTATTTTTCAACCAAATTTTAAACTATTGATGTGGGTGGTACTTACTTGACCGCGTTATGGCAACGAATATAATGGACACCAGGAAAACGGTACGTTTTTTAATGTTGGTGCGATCGAAGATGGGCGGCAAAACGATACGGGCAGCAATATCTGTAATGGCGGTTATGGACAGACAAAAGGCCACATCCTTTTTGTCGTAACCCAAATCGGCGAAAAAGAAAGGTGTCACCATTTTGAAATTCATTTCGGCAACATAGAAAATCGATAGACCGAACAGGATGTTGAGGAACATTTTGTCCTTGAGCAAATCTACGTCCATCAGATCGGCGAATCTGACCCAAAATCCAGGTTTTTTCTCTTCTTCAGCAGCATTATCAGCAGCCTTTTCCATTTCCGTGGGTTTCATCTTTATAAAGGAGTCCCGATGGCCGCTGGTGATGGTGCCTGTTGCAGTGCTGACCCTCTTCAGTTCGCGGTCATTCTGTTCGAATTCATCATCGCCCACATTCATGTGGACTTGCAAGATGGAACCGGTGAAGTCCATGTAGGATAGGTTTGATGTTACCGACTGTTTGCGATGCCTCAGTTGCATGCTTACGTCGTGATTGGACATGTAGGCACTTTCAGCCGACTGGACGCCTGCCAAAGACATGATTCGTGGGAAGGTAGGTCTTTTCGGTAGACCCATGCGCGAACCATTCATTGTATTCATGGCTATTTCCGAATAGTTTTTACGCATCGAATTCTGTAGTTGGTTATGTTTGTGGAAGAGTAGAGTATTCATTTCGGGCAATGCATCCTCCTCCGTTCCATCCTCATGAATAACTTTGAACTCTGGTATTGGAGCAATCACCATCATTTCCTCGTCCACTTTCTCCTCCTTCATATGCCATTTGGCTGGTTGCAACAGCACTGAACCCACTGTGGCATTTAAAGCAACACCAGCCAAAAGCAGGACAGCCCCTCTAAATCCAAATGCCTCAAGCAGGATACGAACTAATTGAGGCATGATCAGCATACCCATTGCAGTGCCAGCCATGGATAGGCCCACAGCCTGTCCTCGTTTGTGTTTGAAGTAGTGATTGAGGGCAACAAAGGCAGCTGACGTCGCCAAACCCACACCAATACCATTGAGGACTCCATATGTACTAATGATGTGGGCCATGCTGGAGGCAGGGCTGGTACACGCCAAACCCAACGCACATAAAATTGATCCAGCTATGGCAACCTTCCGGTATGAGAATTCCTTTAGCAAAGGCCCCACAAACAGGCCGGAAAAGTTCATGCACACATCTAGTGTACTGATGATGACAGCAGCTCCAGTGGTGCCCACATCGAGATCACGCAATAAATCACCAAAGAGTAATCCAAATGACGGTTCTATAGACCGCGTGGCCAACTGCAAAGACAGAAACAAAAGAAGTTTTTTTGTTTAACATATC